CCTAGTGGTTCTAGAACTGTAGGGGAGTAGAGAAGGGCTATCTTGGGAGCTGTATTAATATATATATCGATATGATTTGCTTAGTACCCCCATTGAGGTTTCCTCAAAAGTTAAAACAACTCAATCCATGGATCAGATCAATGCATTTTATTTATCCTCATCTTCACAGTCAGTAATGTTTATAGATCCCGAGGAAGATAAATTAGCAGACAGTTGGCTTCTGAGTTTGTCCTACCCCCTGAGTACGAAAAGATTGGCCTTCTCTTTGCACAGGTTTTTTTTTAAGCAGTAGAAATGAAGCTCAAAGTAATCTGGTAAAATGTGTTGCTGATTTTTTTATATTGCTACAGAGTTAGTTGACTACATTTTAGAGGGTGAATCCATGTTAAAAACAAAAACAAATGAAATGTGTATTTTCTTTTTGCAGAAACATTGGAAGTTCCCATTTCTGATACTGTTCACCTTGATTCTTTCCAAATTTTTGTAAAGACATAAAATAAAATATAACAGCTCAGAAGGCTAAGATAACATTGTAGAATCTCGAATAGAGCCTGGCATCAGCTAAGAGGTAAGAATCGAGAAACCCGACGAATATTAAAGAAGAAGCCTGGCTTGGGGGTCACGTGTCTGTTTAAATCTGCCCCCCTCCACTGCATCCTGGTTACATGCAGCACACATGGGAATGAGAGCCACCACACAAGGTTAATAAAAATGCACTCTGATTTGATGAAATGATTTGTGATTTCGGAGCTACTCCTCTGTAGAGAACTATAAAATGATTGAGAATGTGGAGGATTATCTGCTGGTATGCACTGTGAAGCTAGAAAAAGAGAGCAGGGAAATATTTGTGAGTTCAAAAAGCTTTTGACATCTGCTCTTTTTCTTTTTTTAAAAAACAGATAATGCAGTAATGTGGCATTTCTTTCCATCTGATTCCAGTCTGTACAAAGCCCAAGCTCTGGGCGGGGCACACAGTAGGCCTGCAGCAGGTGCTGGAAAATGAGTCTAAGGGTTGTAACTTCAGGATCACAGTTGCACCTGCACTTTTTCCTTGTACATTGTCATACCTTAATCACCTGCAATCCCCCTTTCTTGGGGATAGGGGTGACTTTTATTCTAAACAAAGGGCTTGGTAGATCAGGAGGTGGGGTGGGTGGGAGTGTGTGTGCAGTGACCTTCTCAGAGGGTCCTGGATCCCCTGCTGGCTTGGGGTCCTGAGGAAGGGGCAGGTTTCGGGCTGTAGCCCCAGCCCTGCCATTCCTCTGCCGCCCCGCCCGCCCGCCTGCCTGTTGTCCCGGCATCAAGAGAGTGGAGGAAACATTAGTGTGGGCCAGCTGCCCAAGCCGGGCCGGGTCGAGGGAGAGGTCAAGGTCGGCGGAGAGGCGGCTATTGATCCGGCTTGGAACGCGAGACAGGGAGCGCAGCAAGACTAAAGGGGGAGCTGTGAGACCAGACATTAACAGCTTTCCGCGCTAATGATGCCCGTGCCAGACGGGCGGAGGGAAAAAAGGGAGACTGGAGCGGCAGCTGGGATTGCTCGCTGCCTGCGCCCGGCCGCCTCTCCTGAGAGGAGGAGAAGGAGGGCGCAGGGGCCAGAGCAGGGCTGGGCAGGGGCAGGGCAGCCTCTCCCCGGCCGCCGCGAGGTGGAGCGCGCCGGCGGGCGGAGACATGTCCGGCCCTGCACCGGCCCGCCCGCGCGGCCCTCTTCCCGCCGTCGGGGCCGCGCGGGGCCAATGAGCAAGGGCGCCCCGGGTCAGTGGCGGCCCGCACCACCCCCTGCCCGCTACTTCCTGCTGGGGGTGGGGCGGCGGGGCGCGGTGCCCGCCCCCCCAGACCCCGCCGCTCGAGCGCGCCGGAGTTGGCAGCTGCAGCCGGGGTCCCCGAGCGCGCTGCGCAGTCCGCGGAGGGCCCTCTTTCTTGCAGGGGGCTGCCCCGTTTCCCCCAGCCACAGACATGGTCTTCCTTCCTTGTTAACACCCCCGCCCCCAGAGGGCGAGGCTCGCGGGTCGGGATTTCAGGTGCCAGACCACAGCTCCGGGCAGCAGGCAGGCCGGCGTCGAGTCCAGACCTGCCCCCGTGCGCTGTGTGACTTCGGGCGAAACGCTAACCTCTCTGGACTTAACACCGCCAGTTCTCAGAGACTACTAACTGCTCCCCCAGTTTTAGGAGTTTGGGCCAGTTGGGATGGCCGGCTTTTGGTTTTCTTAAGTTTACATTAAAGGTGCGTGTGGGCATTTTTTCTTACTTGGGCCACTTTCCTGGAAAGATTTTCGCGGTGGGGCTAGATGGGAGGAGAGGGAGATGCTTCAAGACTCCGGCCCACGTGGAGGTGGGGCTGGGGTGGGGGTCGCGGGCAGCTGCGCGCGGTGGGATGAGGCAAAGTGGCGGCAGCACCTGCCTCCTCCAAGTCCTCACCGGCTCGGCCGCCGACCCTGCGACTCAGTCTGCGAAACTGTAGGCTAGGGCACATTTTAGTATTATTATTAATTATTATTATTTATTATTGTTTTGGTGTGTGTGTGTGTGTGTGTGTGTGTGTGTGTGTGTTGGGGACAGTGGCTCTTTCTGTCCTCGCTAACAGGTGCTGCTGTCTGTTAGGCTGTTGGTGCCGTCGCCCCACCCAAGACCTTTGGGACGAAGAAACACCCGCGAGCCCCCAAGGAAAAGGCTCCGAGCGGCGCGCCCGGAGGCGTCACGGCCCAGCCGTTCGCTCTAGAGAAGCCGCCAGAGCCGGGCCCGGGGGCGGGGAGGGGTGGGTGCAGCTGGGCTCGCCCGAGAGGCCCAGCCCTGGGCCAGGCCCCGAACCGCCCTGGCCGCCTCCCGGCTCGCCGCGGAGGAACCCCGAGAAGCGAGAGGGGTCAAGCCGCGTGGCGTGCCCAGCCCGGGTTCGGGTCATCCAATAGACGAACTTGGCCGCGGCCTGGGGAAGAACCGGACGGGGGATGAGGGTGTCCATGCGGACCTCGGCCTGGCCTCGTTCCCGGGCCACGGACAGGTCCCCACAACTCCTCTTGTCCTCGGCGGCTGGAGATCAAACGGCTTACAAGGCAACTGTGTCCTTCCCTGTCAGACGGGCGATTTCACGTCCTGCCCTGGGAGGAGGAGACTGGGGGCGGGGGGGCGTTCCTTCCAGGTGGCGGTAATTGTCAGCGGGCGAGAGGACTGTTGCAGTCAGGGGTCACCCGCATGGCTGTGTTCAGAGACCCGGGCACACCTCCCTCTGGGGTCAGTGCGTTCCAGTCCCGCCCCCACGTGGAGCGCCGCTGCCCCTTACCCCCACGCTTTCCACAGACCCTGGCTTTGGGGGTTGGGGCCCGTGTTTGACCCCGAGAAGTGGATGGGGTAAGGTGGAGGGAGCGCAGATTCGGGTGAACTTTCCTTCTGGAATGGGACTCAAACAAGGTCTCACTTGCCTGTTCTCCCAAACGTGCTCTTAATTCTCTTCTCTGAGTACCTTTTACTTTGTCCACTTCGCGCTCTCCCAGAGTTTGTAATATCAGGATTTATATGGGGACATTTTCGGGAAGTTTAACCCCGACCCCCCCAATTAGACAAAAGTAAAAACGATCAAGCTACTTTTCCAGGGAGGTAAGGCCACTGGTTACCTCCAGTCACCAAGCCGACCCCGGCTCTCCTCTTCCACTACCCCCGACCCAAGTCCACAAGAGCTTTCGGTTGGGTGGGTGGGGACTTGAGTTGATTCAACTTACTTCCACACACGCAGCTCTCCGCCCCCTTCTCAGGGGGTCCTGTTCCCAGAAGGGGAGGAGGGATAAAAAGGATTTACTTTTATTTAAAAATACCCTGCCCACCGTTTCCTCTCCTCCCCCCCACCCCCCCTTTGCGCTGCCAGTGCACGGGGAGAAGAGCGCACAAAAACGCTGTTTGCACGTGTGGCCGGCCTGGACTGCGGGTGTGCGCACGGGCTAGTGTGTGTGCATGTGTGTGCGCGCGCGCGAGTGTGTCTCTGGGTGTGTGTGCTTTCTTGTTCTCTTACAGGGTACAATGTTAAAAAGCCACCGCTAGTCGCCCCCAGTGCTCCGACTCTCTGGGTCTTTTTGTCTCTAGTGCAGATTAAACGTCACGTCCGCACTTGAACTTGAATTTTATCCCATTGTACAGAGGCAGCCCCAGCCATAGAGAGACCGAGAGCTCCCAGAGAACCCGGACTCCGCCATCTTCACGTTGCAATCTATAGCTCCCAGTCCGCGCCCGCACCGACCCAGGCGCCCTGGGCGAGCCGCCCCTCAGCCCAGCTCCCCCCGGGCCCGCGGCGCCAGGGGAGCGCTGGGGAGCGCTCGCGGGGACCCGGCAGCCTCTCCGGCCGGCGCCAGCCTGCCAGGTGGACTGGGAAGGAACCGCTCCTGGAGTCCCCCCAAGAGCCTCGGAAGGGTCAGTCTCCGAGAAAAAAACAGGCGGCCGCAGAAAACCCAGAAACAACCGCACCGCGGCAGTTTTGCATCGCTTTGGGTTTTTTGAGGGGGCGGGGTGAGGGGGTACAAGTCCCCAAGTTTCCTTCGCTTTTTTTTCTTTTCTTTTTCTTCTTTTATTTTTATTTGTTTGCGTTTTTTCCCCCTCCTCCGCCCCCCCCCCCCGGTAGAAGTGCGCCTTCCACCTACCAGACCCTGAAAGAAAGTGTCAGGAGCCGGTGCAAAATCCGGTTTAAGTTCCAGAAGGCGTTTGGAAGTCCAGGAGGCCAAGCAGTTTGAAGAAGTGTGAGCGATTTTTTTTTTTTCCGTCAAAAGAACCTATTTTTAAAGAAAGCAGCCAGTCCGCGGCAAGCAGGAGCAGATTTTTTTTTTTTTGCCTCTATTTTAGATCGAGAGGTTTTCCTTTTCCTTTTCTTTTTGCAAACAAAACAGAAAACAGCATAGAAGAAAGAGCAAAATAAAGAAGAAGAAGAGGAGGAAGACAGGGCAAGAGAGGAAGGGGGAAAAAAACCAAAACAAAACACCAACCCGGGCAGAGGAGGAGGCGCGGCGGCGGCGGCGGCGGCGGCGGCGGCGGCGGCGGCGGCAGCGGCAGCGGCGCGGCGGCGGCTCGGACCCCCTCCCCCGGCTCCCCCAGCAGTGCAGCTCTCCGGGCGATGCCAGAATAGATGCCGGGGCAATGTCCCGCCGCAAACAGGGCAACCCGCAGCACTTGTCCCAGAGGGAGCTCATCACCCGTAAGTGTCTGCGGCGTGCGCGCCCGCGGCCGGAGGATGGGGCTCCGGGCGCCCAGGGCTGGGGACACCAAGCCGGGAGCAGCGGGGCCGGGCGCCGGGGCCGCCCGCGGGCTCGCAGAGGCAGGGGCGTCCGCCCAGAGCGTGGTGGGTGGCTGGGGACGCTAGGAAAGTTTCTTTGCAGCCCGGGGAGTCGGGGCGCTGGTCAGCCAGACGCTCCTCGGGCTCGGGGGGCCTGCGGAGCGGGCTCCGGGCCCGGGAGGGGGCGCGCAGGCTGGAGGAGGTGTGTGTGTGCGCGCGGAGCCCGGCTGGACGCTCGCCCCTCCGAGCGGCGTGTGTGGCGGCAGCGGCGCTGGTGGCGGGGTTTGGAGAGGAGGGGGAGGGGGCTGGGGGAGCGGAGGGGGAGGGGAGCCGGGAAGTGGGGAAAAGTTGGCTGGCGCGTGGGTCCGCGCTGACGGCGCGGGCGGAGGAGAGCGGGGTGCGCTCAGGGCTGGGGAGACGCGGGGCAGGGGCGGCCGCCGGCCCCGAGTCCCCGGCCGCTGCGCCCGGTCAGGCAGGGCGCCGGCCACGCCGGTCTAGGATTCCGCAGCCGCCTTTCTCTCCACTCCTCTCGCTATTTGCAAAAGAATCCAGCCGCGCGGCTGTTTGCTGGGCTCCTGCACACAACCGCACCCCCCCCTCCATTTCCCCACCTCCGTCTGTCTCCAGGGATGATCTGGTCTTCTTTCCCCCACTCCAAAAAAAAGGTGGGGGGATTGAGGGCTGGTGAAAAATCCCTGCCACGGGGAAAAAAAAAAAAAGGCTTGTCAGCCGGGAGTGGGAAGAGAGAGAGATGCTTGTAAAATAGTTAAAAAAAAAAAAAAGAAAAAAAAAGAAAAAGAGAAAGAGAGCCCTATCAGTCTTACCCATCTTTCTGTCTCTCTTATCTTTCATCTTCCCTATCTAAATAAACAAGGCGGTTGCGGTGGAAATGCACCCGCTGAAATCGTGTGGATTTCAAGCAAGCGGCGGGGCAGGCAAAGTCAGGCGGCGGGGCAGAGACGCAGCAGCCCCCGGCGCCGCGGTTGGGTTTCTTTAGAGAAAGGAAAAGGAGAGCGCGAGCGGGCCAGGTACGGTGTGTGCAGGGGAGCTCGCCCGGGTGCCCCGCAGTTGCCCCGGGAAGGTCTGCTCCCAGCGCTGCGCCCGCCGCATCCGGCCGGGCCGCGGCTTCGCGGCGCGCGAACGTTTCCCCTCGGTCCTTTCTCTCGCGGTGCCCAGGTCGCCGTTGCATTTTCTAAAAAAAAAATTTTATTGCCATAGAAATAAAACATCCTCCGGGTGCCATCGAGGCCGCGGGCAGGTTGTATTCCTGCGATCCTCCGAGCCCCTCGTCCGGCTGCTGCCGAGCTGCCTGCGTGGAGCTGGAGAGGGGCTGCGCGCCCAGCCGCCGCGGAGGACTGGCTGCGGGGCGGCCGAGAGCCGAATATTTATGTTATATTTTAAAAAATTTAAATAAATAAATATATATATAAAAGGGTTCTCCCCTCCCCTGGAAACCCAGCATAGGAGCCATCTGCTTGGAGCATTTGTGGCTGCCATCTCTCCTTTGTTACAGCAGATAAATTTGTAAGAATTTGTGGGTTTATTATTATTTTCTGGGGAAGGGCAGATATTAAAGTGGGGTTCGCCTTGGCGGCCGATTGCCTTTTTTGGAGGGAGGGAAGAGAACTTCTCTTTTATTTTTCACCATTGTAACATTATAGAAGATTCGCTGGTTGCATTTAAAACAAAATGTTTTGCAACCAGATTTGAGCCTGGTTTGATCAAGGTCCTTTTGGCCAGTTGACATTTCATCCTTTACCAAGCTGTAGTGGTGGCTTATCCTACACCCCCACCCCCTTTTAGATGGTGGGGTGGTTGTTAGAATGTCTGTATTTGCAGATGCCTTATTTCTGCAGGAGGCAATTTGGCCCACATATCCTCTACATAATTACAAGGGCTGTTTTTGAGGAGGGGGAGCTATCAGGGGTGCACAGCCAAGCTGGAAGCAGCCAAGGAGTCTCGAGTGTTTGCAGTTGTGTGTAAGGGGGAAAGAAGCAGGTAGGTTCCCTTTGCTTTTGCTCTCTCCTCTTCTGGCATTCCTGGGACATCAGGAGAAAGCCCTAGGCAGAAGGACTGGTGGCAGCTGGGCGTGGGGGGCGAGGCGTGCCTGGTGCAACATCCTTGCATCCTTCGTTTGTTTGTTCCGTGTCTCTCCCAGCCTTGCTCCGAGCGTGCTGAGGAAAGCCGGCTAACGCTGGAGCAGGGGCTGGGAGGAAAGAGAGAGGCAGAGAAGAGAGGTGGGGAGGAAACGAGGGTGCAACGGGTGTCCTGCCTGCCTTTCAGGGGCACACGGAGTCCAGGACATGTGTAGGGGTTTAAGCAGGAAGAGTGGTCCAACCAGTTTTCAGACAAGGCTATTATCAGAAAGCATCTGGCTTTTCAGTCCTGTGTCACTAGGGAGGTGGAGGGCAGGCAGGGGAAAGACGAGCACGGCTGGGGTTTAGGCTGCGTGGCCTGTGGAAGTGCCTCTCCATGGTGACTTCGGAGTCCTAGGTTCAGGGTGTCCTGGGGCCCTGGCCAGCCAAATGGGTGCTGTCACAGCCAGACCCGGGGTTCACATAGTAGATTTTAAATGTGAAAGAAACCACCTACAATGTGGTACAGCTTCAGTGTGGTGGCAGCCTCAGGTTCTTTAGAGGTGGTACAACTTAGGAAAGCGCTGGTCCCGCGAACACGAAAAGAGCACACAAATAGCATCAATAATCTTGCGGGAGAAGACCAAGAAGGGCTCCGTGATGAGCTTGTCACATTTACAGGCAGGGCCAGTGCGAAGAGTGAGGTTGGTGTGTGGGAGACAGCTGGGGATGGAAACCTGGGCTTCTGGTTTCTTTCAAAATGTTTGACCCAGATGGAGATGGCTTTAAAAACCAGAGGACAGATACAGGTATTAATAAAAACAAGCACAAAACAACACAGTGACAGTTCTGAGGAGGGTCAGCCATAGGGAAGGCCCGCCAGCTGCCTGTTCAGACAGAGGCCACAGGGAAATGAACTCCGGTCCATGAAGGCACTCTGAGGCTTTCTGAAGAAAAGAAGGTGTCTGTGGTAAATTATGCAATCCCAAGGAAGGTGATTTTTCAACAACCCAACAGGTTTCCTTGAAGATCAGCTTTCTGTATGAATTCATGATTTAGCCAATCAACTAGAGACCTAAGATTTGACATGTAAGTTAGGCTAACTGTATGAATTTCAGGCTTGCCTTTTAAATTAGGTTTTGCTGTAGCTGTGTGTTTTGAAGGCAGCTGAGCTCACAACTCCTCAGGGTATAGTATGTCTCGAATTGTCCACAAATCTTTCAAAGTTGGGCCTCCAATAAATTTCATTAGATATGGGCCCCTCTCTTTTTTGGATAGTTGGTGGGGGGAGTGAAGTTTTTCTCCCTTCTGCACAGAAGGGAACCCCATATCATTAGAAGTGTGATATAAGTCATCTGCTCTGATTCCACGGGAGAATAAAAATGTGTTCATCAAAGGTGTTATGCCAGGCTGATTTTATTCATTTGTAATTCACACCTGAGAGAAACAGCCGTGAGCATATTTTAACAACCCCTAATATTTTTAAAAGGGATTCTTTCCCTCTGTGGATATTATGTACATATATATCTTTCTTTCTAAATTTTTTTAAATTTGAGGATGGGAGGTTGCTATGTGCCCATGCTTTGGCCTTGGTGATTTTTGTCTGGCCTTAAAAATATTTCGTAACAGAAAACGACTCATTTCCCCAGTGCTGGAGTGAATGCAGTTGTTTCGGTGAAACTGGCCTGTGGAACACGGAGGGAGGTTGAGATCCGGTGGTTGGGAGCAATACTTTGCTGACCACAGTGCAGGACTAAATCGGTCTTATTAATGGAAGGGAAGGCCCACTTCCGGTGCATTTGGCAATAATTAGCATTCTGTCTCAGGTGTGATGGAAGCACGTGAACCAGTTCGTTTACAGATATCGGTTTCAGACTGTAGAGAGCACCAGTTACTAGCGCCTTACCAGAATCGAGCTCTTGGCACTGTCTCGTAGCTTAAAACACGTCTTGCACCAGCCTTCCTTTTTTCCTTTTCATCTCATTTCTCGGGCGCTTTGCATTCTCTGTTGCTTCTTGTGATGAAATACTTTCCAAAATAAACTTTCAGTTGAATTGGCTTTTGGTTGATGGCAAGCCTGAACAGCCGAGCCGCGCTTGGCTCCACTTGGCAGCTAGGGGGAGCTCGGTGCCCGTGTCATGGCTTGGCGCCTTCGCTGCGAGGGCCCAGGAACCGGCTTCCGTCGGTGGCGGCAGGAGTTTACGTTGTTGCAAAATGTCTTTAGTGTGAAGTTGTAATATTGATTTTCCTGCAGAGATTCGTGCAGGACAAAATGAGAATATAAGTTTGAGAAATCTATTTTCAAGTTATGGGCATTGATTTACAAGCCCTCTCACAACGCAGGTGAGGGCATTTTTCTTTTCTTTCTTTTTTAAAACCATTAAAATTGTGAGTTTTGAATAGGTGCCGTTTTCCCTGATTAGTCTGTGGTTGTGACTGAAAATTCCATTAGGCATTTGGGGCAATCACAATCAGGCGAGGAGGGCTGGGAAGAACGCTTATCATTTTGTCTATTTCTGTGTTGCATGTTAACAGACCCAGGGAGCAGCCAGGAATCGCTGCTTTTGGGAGTATGTACCTAAAACAGCTTGATGAATGGAAATCCTTTTAGCTCAGATTTTATAACACTTGGATTCTCAGTTCCATTTATTAGGTAATGTTCCCACTGTACTAAGGGATTTATAGCACCATTCCCAAAAGATATAAAATGCCAACTCAGATCACATGTAAAACTTTGGAAGGAGTCTATGCTTGTTAGACCCAGCGCAGCTGATATCTTTCACCCCAAATGGTGTGCTTAATGGATGGTTTTTAATGAGACTGTTTCTCCCCTAAATGTGTAAATGC